GTTCTTTCAGCTTCTGCTATGTTACTGTAGCGTTTCCCCTGAACTAATCGCATATCCGCAAATTCGTGAAAGGACATTCAAAGTAAGTCACAGTTTGACAAATTATTGTTATTATTGACAAATACTATCTACATGTGTATCTATTAATGACAAAAAACATCATTGCCGCTGTGCCTTTTTATCAAAAAATTGTAGAAGAGAACTTTTTTTGATATCAAAAATGTTCGTAATTTGAAGCAAAGATCGTAATTTTTATCTTTAAATATTTAAGTATTCCAATATGCTACCAATTAAACATGGAACAGTTTCAAAATAATGCTTAATAACAAAGTTGAAATTCTATCTTCAACTGTTAAAATCTTCTAGAAATAAAAAAAAAAATTTCAATTTTCGTCCTGTATAAAATCGTCAAAATAAAGTACGCATAGACTTGTGACCTGACTAAAGCAGTGAAGGATAAGATTTTTTTATATAATATATAGAGATAAGAAAATTTGTTTATTGATATCTCTTCTTACAGGTACCCTAGGTGGCTGAAAGCTTTTAAGCTTTTAATAAGGGAACTTCACTACAATTATATGGTCACTTTTACCTTTCATTAGAGTGTTTAATGTCGATGTTGTGCCGAACCCTTTGGGCGCGACACTGATTTGGACGCAAAACACTCTCAACTTATTGATTGGTCAGTTTTTGGTCGAAAATCTGCGTCGTGCCCGAAGGGCCCGGCACAACAAACGCATTAGATAGTGTTTAGTGTCGATGTTGAGCCGAACCCTTTGGGCGCGACACTGGTTTGGACGCAAAACACTCTCATCTTGTTGATTGATCAGTTTTTTGCCAAAAATCAGGRCAGTGCCCGAAGGGCTCAGCACAACAAACGCATTAGATAGTGTTTAGTGTCGATGTTGTGCCGAACCCTTCGGGCACGACACTGGTTTGGACTCAAAACACTCTCAACTGGTTGATTGATCGGTTTTTGGTCAAAAATCAGTGTCGTGCCCGAAGGGCATTAAAGAGTGTTTAGTGTCGATGTTGTGCCGAACCTTTCGGGCGCGACACCGGTTTGGACACAAAACACTCTCAACTTGTTGATGAAGTAACTCTGTGATTCGTCAGTTTCTGCTAGGATCAGCATAATTTAACTATAAAAGTAACCACAGCAGAAACGAGAATTCAGTCATTAGATGTTTGGTCAGAAGTCATAAGAATTGAGCTTAAAGGCCCATTTATAAACATGACGTTTGCGTTGGGTTCGCCGTTACCGTTTGCGTCCAAATTAAAGTATTGGAATACCTAAAGGCTCATTTATAAACTTGACGTTTGCGTTCGCCGTTACCGTCTGCGTCCAAATTAA